CATTCGTATACGAATCTGGGATTTTAGGAATTAAGAGAGGGTACAGATGAAAATCGGACGAGAACAATTTGGCGTCTCGACGATAACCGACCGGAGAATTTTCGAGTCGCGATCTTTCGCGAGTCCTCCGAGCTTCCGAGCGCGCTGTCTCGCGATCGGTTGTCGTCGCGATATCGCCGATATAACTCGCGAGCAATCGTCCCGCGATCTCTGCTCCTTCGTCTCCTTCCGTCCACCTCTATTCCGCGCGGCTCTCCGCCCCATTGTTCTCCCCGAACGTTCCGCCCTTTTCACCCCCTTTCGGATCTTTCGCGAGCCGCAAGTCGTAAAATCGTATTACTGCGCGCTGCGCGGCCGAGAGGGTTATGTATCATTGACATGTTTTACGGCGAGAGAGCGCGAGGAGGGCAGGAGGGATAGGTGGTTGCTCGCCGGGAGAGCGCAGAGGAAAACATCGGTCGTTGGGCGGCAATAAAGTGTGCTTGGCGGCCCGTATTTGTATTCTCGACAAGCATGTTTCTATTTCCGGTGCCGGTGGAATTGTCTAGTGCGGCTGTCTCGAACCGGCCGATATTCGCTTAAACCGGTCATCTTAGGACATAGTTGCGACGAGGTAGTCCGAGGATGCTTTGTCCTTCGTTTTCAGGCGCTCGATAAATCGCAGGAAAGCTTGCCGACGTATCGACCACTCGAGAATTGAAAAGTGCACGGAGAAAATATTATAAAAATTACCACAAAATTGTGTAATGTCGGACCATGATCGGAGTTATGATCGAAATTATGCTGTGCTGTAATCTTTAATGATGTGTACACGTGATATATATACATCATTGAAGATAATAATAGATATCATAATATCAGTCATAATTCCGATATGGTTCAGCGTTACAAAATTATGTGATCAGTTGTATTACAATATTTTCTCCGTGCGGAGAATTCATGTACAGTGAAAAATAATTCTTTGGATTTAATAACATTTCTAATAACATTTCTTTAATTGAAGTAAATTTGTCTTTCGAAATAGAGCAAACGAATGTTTTTGATTCGATAAACAAGATTATTTAGTTTTTCCAGACAAAAAATATTTTTTTTGTACTTCAATCTGAACATCACAATTGATTGTCACAAGCAATAAATTACTTGAACATAAGTTAATTAAATATAGTTAAACATAGTTTAACTAACTTATTTTCAAATAATTTATTGCTTGTGACAATCATCGTGATGTTCGGATTGAAGTACAAAAAAATATATTATTTGACACAAAAATATTTATTGTCTGGAAAAACTAAATGATCTTGTTTATTATTAGTAAGGAAAATATTTTATATGTATTATATATAAAATATATAAATATTATGTATCTTATAATTTACTTTATATTTTTTTATATGTTAGGAAAAGAATTTCTCTGCTCGAAGTGATGAAACAATATTTAATACATAATAAAACAAATCTGCTTATTGAAAACGAAATATTATTCCCTCTAAATAAAATACCGTTTTCTCAACGAAGCAACATGGTTCACCTCAGTGAGATATTTTCACTCAAACAAAATGACATTTGATATTGAATTATATTATTCCAATAAACCGAATCCAAGTCGAACAAGCACGTGCGCTAAATCCAAGGAAATCTTTTCGTGTAGATTCGCATTTGTCGATAAAGCAGCCCCGAAAATCTTTGCCGTCAATGGCCCGAAATTACTCGATATTAAAACACCCCGCAGGTCTCCTCGGGTGAAACATTTCAACGCTAATTTATGACGCCTCTTCTCTTTCTTTCATTTTCATCAATCGGCAAGAGATATTCTGTCAGATATTCGCGCGGGTGGGCATACGTCGTTCCCGACGGAATAAACGCGCTCAAGTATCGAATGTATCTCATTGCCCGCGGGATTTATTAGCGGCGAATTAACGTCGCCACGTCGTAAAATTAATCGAGTTTGTCGAACACGCGTTCGGCTGTGTTACTGACTCGCGGTGTTGGTAGTACACCGCACGCATTGCGCCCATAATTCGCGATCGTAATCGGCCTACCCGCTGCGTTCTAAGCTACGAGCGGTTTAAAATCCGCCGGTTTCATGCCGACGGAGATTATTGCCCCGACCGTTTCCTGTCTTCCCCCAGAATTGCGCGGACGATCACTTCGAGCGTAGTATTATGCGCGACCGTTCAGCTTGTCGCGACCGACACGCTCCGATCTGAATCGACGGCTGGGCGAGTTAACGGTACGCTTGTCTCCGCTTTCGATCCGGGTGATTATGAGCGTTTCGCTCGCCTGCGCGTTCATCTCGTTACAAACCGCCTGATTACAGTCGGCTGCTTTCACCGTGCGGACGCTGTCGCGGCTGGCCGTGGACGCACATCGCCCGGGATAATACCGAGCATTAGATAGGATCAGAAACCATCGCGCTTATCTCGTCGAACTTTGATCGATTTGCGATTCTTTCCCTACCTTCGACGAACTTATCTCGATGGGAACGCGCGCGATACTAAGTGAAAAAGCCGCAAAAATACCATCGCCCGAACACGCAAGGACATTCTTGTCGTTTCGCTCGTTAAATGCGGATGTTTATACATTTAATATAGAATATGCGTACATCTGTTGAATATATATACATATATTCGGTGTTGAAGGTTTTAGATGCTCGCATTTAAGAAACAATAAGAATCTCCGGGTTTTCGTATCCGAGGCCATCGTAAGCCAGTGCTTTTACCTTAAAAGACGTCCAATTTTTCAGTCTCTCTCGCACGAGATTTCCCGCTGAAACGATAAACCGATTTGAAAATATTTCGCCGAAGCGCGCTTCGAAACGCGAGATTCCGTTGGCAACGCGCGCGGGAATTCTCGGCGAAATCTGCGCGCTCTGTTAACCGCTAAGAGCCGCCGATGTCTCGACAAAATGTAAGAACGCGGGGGGTGAGGGGTGTTTCATTATCCAACGGACATCGGGCAACGTGATCGCACGGCTCGAATGTCCACGTCGGGGCGCGTCTTAACGCCTATAAATACGTTAACGAACGCGCTCGGCGCTTATGTCGCGAGTTTAATTATGCACGCATTTGCCTTGTAATTAGCACAGGGCTGTTTGGTTACGGCCGGTCCGATACTCACGGAACTGTAACTCACGTGACCTGTTTGTGAGGTTTGAATTACGTAATGCGGGCTGCTATCCACACACGCGTACACTGGAAATGACATGTCTATGATACATGACCGTAACGTATGTATCTTGCAGAGGCCATTACATATGTAAAGGTATTTATTTTCAATTAGTGCCACTTGATCGGCCCCCGTAAAATGCATTGCGGCGTCGCACCGGCGTTTATTTGCACGGCACCGAATATCCCCGGCGTGTTTTTAACGTTACCGATGTAATGCGATACCGCGAATATATTAATTAGCGATACGATGGACACTCGATTACCTCTCTCGCGAGAGAGAGAGAGAGAGAGAGAGAGAGAGAGAGTCGCTCGACCAATCCCGTCGAACATGGAAAAAATTCGCCCGGGACGAATCGTAGCGGAACGTTCGCAAAATCGAGACGCGTAAATTTCAGCGCGATTATCGCGGCAAAAATTGGCGCGTCTAACCGTCCGGCCTGAAAATTAACTTCCGGCTGTCAATTGACGATGAACGTGCGTCAACACGTGTGCGTTTGGCAGTGTCGGTAGGGAATGGCAGCGCTCCGAAGTAATTTCAGGATAATTCACGGCGTTACGTCCTGCGGGCGGCGAAACAGCCGGTGATGCGCATTTAAAGATAATTCGGGGCTCGAATTCCTTCTGCGCGAGAGCACTTGAACGAGAACGAGAGGCATATCGGCGATTGCTCCGTTTAATGGGCCGGAAATATTAAGTCGATCGTACGTACGACAAAGTGGATTATCGGTCTTCTTTAATCCGGTCCTCCGGGGACGGGCGGAAGTTGTCCGTGCGAATCTGCCGCGTCGGAAATTTTCAGATTATTCACGCGAATACCGTCGAGTCGCAATCTCTCAAAGCCCTTGAAATAGGGAATTCGCGAGGCGTTGGACGGTTATTTGTGAAGAAAGAGAGAAGGAGAGGGAGAAAGAGAGAGAGAGAGAGAAAGAGAGAAATACCGTGCACGCACGATCGGAGTCGGAAGAATTTTGAAAATAGGGTCGCCGTGCTCAGCCGGAGGGAAGAATTTGGCGGAGCAACAAGTGTTTTCATTACTGTCCGGCCTCGCTCATTTCCGGTCGCATTTTAATTATTCGAATTAGCCTCATCATTGCGTTGACTTAATCGTAATATTATCGGGGCGAGATTACGTCACGATCCTCGTCAAAGTTGCTAATAATTCCGGAACAACGTTAAACACTACGCCAAAGGGTGGGCAATAATGGCGGGCGTCGAACGGTTACGCTTTGATCAAACGCGTTAATGACACACCAATAGCACAACAAACGCCCCACCCCGTGCAAGCCGCAGGATGTGAAATGTATTACGGCGGAGGTAAACAAAGTTTGCCGCTGAATTTCACGAAGGCTACTTTTTTTCCCCCCAGCCGATTCGATACCGCTCCCGGAACGGGGGCCGATTGAAAGTTGGTCTCTCATAAGAAGGTTAAGGGCTCAAATTCATTCCTCCCTTTCTTTTTCTTCCTTTTATGCCGTCTAATACTGCTTCGAGCGCGGTAATCGGTTTAAACGGTATAATTGAACGGCGCAGCGCGGCGATGTAAATAAAAATAGCGAGTTGCGCGAGGTCGAGGCGGTCCCGGCGGGCCGAAGTGATGTCGGTCAGCGTATAATCAGCCGAATTATAACGCGAGCCGCACGCGGAAACATCGGCTTCGACCGGATTTTCAGTTATTCCACCGAATTTCCCGTTTCGCCGGTCGCAATTCCGCGGAAATCGTTCGGGAAACTCCGAGTGTCGTCCGGCAGTTTCGCAGCGTTATCGAGAGTGGAGGCGTTGCCGAGCCGGGGAACAAGGAAGCGTTCGGTCGTCGATCCTCCATCTGCGAATTACCTCGGAGCCTCGGAAGAGGCGCACATCGAACCGGTGTATCGCTGTTGAAATATTTGTACGTTCTTCATCTCCCGGCCAACGCGCGCCCCGACGGCTTCCTTTGGTCCCGCGAGACGCCGGCGGAAAGGACGCGGAATGGATGACGGGAATTAGGTTTTCCGTGGGATATGTGACCGGCTTTTCTAGACGACGGTGTCTCTATACGACGTCAAAGCCACGGCACCGCCGCGGCGGCCAACTTTCTCGCAAAGGTGCCTCCCCTCCGCCTACTACCCTCGCTACTTTCAACATCCCCCCGACGTTGCGCGTTCAGAAAAAGTATCCACGTGTGAGCGCTTCCCTCCCGGCGCGCGAACGGCAATTCGACGAAGTGCACGGCGAGTTATTAATTCGCGATATCCGCGGCGAAATGCGTTGTCTCTTCCCGACAGGCGAGGCCGGAAAATCGACGCGAAAGGGCCGGCCTTCGGAACCGTATTTCGCTCCACTCTCCGTCGGACGAATAAATAAAAATCCGTCCCGCCGGGTACGCGCTCGGTTTTTCGGGATTTTCCACTCGCACGAAAACATTTTATTTGTCTTGGACGGGGAATTTAATGACGTCGTGAGTAATAAAATTCGACGTTGCGTCGCTTATTGACGAATGCAGCGCCGGGATTAAAAAGTATTACGCAGCGCGACGCTGCTCTCCCGATGCGACACCCGCGAACCACCTACCGTGCCGAGCGCGATTCTTTTTTTCTCTCTTTTTTTTATTTTGTTTCTCTTTTTCCTTTTTTAATTTATTCCGTCGCTTTTTCCCCGAAACCCGGGAGCGGGAAAAACCGCCGTCGGGATCGATTCGCGCTCGAATTCGGAAAACGAAACGCGCCGATGCTTCTTAGAGAACACAACAACCGTGTCACTCGATCCACGGTCGGTCGATTTTAATCAAGCCGCCGTTGGAAAAACCGCCCCGAATTGATATTTCTCCCGGCCCCCGTTTTCCCTAGTTACTCGTGTAGAATTAATCGACAGCGCTGAGGGAACGGGACGGGGGGGGNCTTGTTGGTCGCGCGGGCGCGAAACACAAAAATCGCGCCGAAGCGCAAAAAGCGACTCGGGGAAACGACGGGAAAGCTCGTCGACGAATAGACGTGGGAGCTCGCATTGTTTGTGCGCAAATAACAGGGAATACCCGGCGATCCCGGCGACGTTGGGGCCGACGGAGAACGACAAAACCGGCGCAACCGGCGGAGACACTCGTGGAGAGCGGAACGCGCACAACGCGTACGTATGCACGGCGGGGAAATCCGAAGAATTTCCCAAAGAGCGGGTTTCCGCCGATCGTTATATAACCGGAAAAGCTCGGCCGCGATAAAAGCGGCGTAAAAGGAATCCAGGCTGAGCGCACCGCCGCCGTCTCCGGCGCGTTAATTGTAATGGTATTAATTACGATAATGGAGCGCCCAGTCTCTCTTTCTCTCTCTCTCTTTATCTTTCCAGTTGTTCCCTCCCTCTCGCTCTCCTCCCACCGACTGGCTCTCTCTCTCTCTCTCTCTCTCTCTCGCGATTCACCTCGCTCCCCCCCGTGCCTATGCACCCCTTCGCTCGCGCTCACCCTCGCTCGCTCGCGCCGCTAACCCCTCTTCGGCCATCTTCCACCCTTTGTTCCCTCGACGCTGGCGTCAATTAAGTGGATATCTCAAACGAAAAATTCTAATAAGCCCGCTGGAACGAGTCCCCGCTTCAGTCGAGCGCGATTCCAATGGAGCTTCAACGATCGTCACGGAAGCGCACGACGCCGACGAGGACGGCATCGCCGATGGCGAGAGAGGCGGGGAGAAAAAAGAAGAAGGAAAAGAGAAGAAACCAGCCGCCGATGCCGCTTCGTCGTCCTCTCACGGCGACATGACGCGACGCGAAACGAAGCGCCGACGAAGTCGGGCACCGCACTTCGAGTACGTTCGATCGCTGGGAATTCTCTCGAGAGAGAGTGAGTGGCTCTACGGAGAGAGCCTCGCGAGAAATTCAGGACTTCCCTCGGTGAGATCTATCGACGGCGAGGGAGGAACAGCCCGCGAGGGGCCGGGACTTGGAGGTGAGGGGAGATAAGGGGACGAGGTAGCTCGATGGATGCGTTTTCAAAAAGGTAAGAGGGAGAGAAAGAGGGAAAGGAAAAGGGAGGAAGAAAGAGAGAGAGAGAGAGAGAAAGCTCTGTTCCAACTATAGGCTTCGAACACTTTTGTTCCCAGCACCTATTACTTTGTTCTCTCCGCCGATGTTATTTGACGTCCGCAAATGAGTACACCGTGGGGGAGTGTATGTTTAGAGCGGTGCACGGCAGTCGTATATTTTTGATTGCCTTTGTAACACAGCTCGAGGGTGGAGGGAAGATACATTCGTTCGATACGAGCGACGTATCGAACGATGCGGGCTCTCTCGGCTGAAGATCGTGACGAGTTCAAAGTGCTACGGTGTGCTCGCCGGCGGCGGATCATTCGGCGAGTTTTTTTCTCTAATCTGCAAATTAAACGTGCACCAATCAGGTATCGATTTTCCACGCACGATCCTTCCCCGTCCACTTATTTGCATGATAACTGCGAGGGATATTGAAAAAGTCGCGATCCGCCGTTCGTCCGGTTGAATCTTGTAAAACGGAGAATTTACATAATTCCTCGATATACGCGCGTGTCCTTAATACTTATATATGTGACTGCGCCGAAGATAAAAGGGTTGAGTGCGGAGCTGCGAGAAGGGCTCGAGCTAATCCACATAGTCACAAGTGTATACATAAGTATGTGCGTTTTCCTCCTTTTTTTCTCCCCCTCTCTCTCTCTCTCTCTCTCTCTCTTTCACCCCTTCTCACGGCAGACTATTTCGCTCCGCGTTTCTGCTTAAAAAGTATAATTTATCCGGGAAAATACCTCTTCAAATATATGTGCTAAGCTTATGCATTATTTAAGCTACTATAAGATGAACGACGTCATGAATACCATCCCCTCCCACCAAATGAAGATTTATAAAGCCTTTCATAAATTTTTAAGCGCTACTAAAAAGTACAAATGAAATCCGTCTTCTTTCCTTTCTTCCCCTTTTTTTTCTCCTTTATTCCAATCGCGATGTGTGCACGATTGCATCACAAAATTCATGACGAGAAAGAGAAAGAAAGAGAGGGGGGGGGGGAGCAAGGGAAGCCTTATTCGCTTGATCCGCGTCCCGTGTTTCGCGTTTAGACGCGCGTCGCAGTCGTGCCGGGCGATTTCGAACGTCGCGCGATACGTACGGGGGCTTAGAGTTCCATTTAACCGTGAAACTTGACATTTTTCTCGCGGAAAAGGAGAGGCCGTCGCGACGAAGAGTCCTCGGCGCGGCTCGTGATGTACGATCGCGCGGCCTCTTACATTAATTCATACGCCGAGAAATTAATTATTCCCGCCGCGGCTATAAGTGCCGGTCCCGGCGGAATTATACCGTTTCCTTGGTGACGGGGCTTATTGGTAAAGTGGATATCGGCATTACGCGATACCGTTAAAAGCGCAATACACGGGCCGGCCGTGGATGTCGGATAAACGATAAAGCGAGATTAACTACGCAACGGAGGTTAATTAAAGCATTCGTCATTATTACCGCAATAACGGCGATAATATTGCATTAACGGGCCGTTTAACGTTTATCGTCCGATATCCATGATATCATCCCGGTCTCGTCTCTCGTATTCTGTAAACACGACGCTCGTGCGCGCATCTTCGACGGTAAACAGGCGAGCGGTGGGCTCGGCCGAAGTAGGTAGTACAGGTAGATCCATGCTCCGACGTAGAACAGTTGTTTCCGCGTGTTATAAGAGCCGCGCGAGACCCCGCTGTTTGACTTGTAAAGTAACTTGTAAATGTAGACCGACTTGTAGACGCCGACCGAAATGATTAGCTTCGCTAATTAACTATCAGGACCGTTTGATTTCACCGTCTGCCATTGCAGATCAGAATTTCCCCACCGGCAAGCTTCGTTCCCGACGGGGCGTCCACGTACCACATACATACGAAGGAAGATCGTGTATTATTATAATAATAATAATGATATTTACTTTATCGAACGTACAACATGACTGACAAACTTTGACACGTGAATTATAAACATATGTTCGCTGCATCGCCAGAGGCGCGACATTAGCCTTGCAGCTGTTTTCAATTCGCTTCGCCTCCCCTTTACTCTAAAGAGAATGAGCAAAATAAAATATAATAATAATAATAACAACACAGATAATGATAAAAAAAGATGTAAAATAGTGAAATGATGCGGATATACCGGTTAGAAAATATAAATTGTCTCGGTCAATTATCAACGTTCGCCACTGTATATTTCAACACCGTGGGACGAAAAGGCGTAAAAGTCGACCGCTCGAACCTCAGACGGTAATATATTGTAATATTTGACTGTACTGTAATGAGAATGCCACTTTAAATGCGTAAGTTTAATCAAAGGAACCGCCGACTGACTTTGTAGCCGTGTGGTATACAAATCGCCGTGACTCCTGCACGGAGAAAATATTGTAGTAAAAATCACAACATTTTTCGTCACGCCGGAATTGTGACTGAAATTATGACGTGCATCGTAATCCTTAATGGTGTGTATACGTAAAATACACGACTGGAGATTACAATACACAAATCCCCGGCAAACACTAAGTAACATTAACATATCAATGTTACAATTTCTCACTCAGCAGTGTAAATGCAATTTAACATGCGTGTATATATTGCTGAGTTTGGCAAATTGCAACATTGATGTTACGTTACTGTTATTTGGTGTTTGCTGGGCCATAATTTCAGTCACATTTCCGACATGGCGTTACGAAATTTTGCAGTAATTTTCACTACGATATTTCCTTCGTGTGCAAGACGATTCGTAGAAACCGGCAAACCCGTTAACCGCTAATTGAAAAAATGTTCCAAGCAACGTTATTAACTATGTATATTAATGTTCTGACACGTCTCTGTGCGAATTATGGCCTTCGTTTATATATATATGGAGAATATGAAGATTACATTAACCCATTCGAGACGGCGAATTTTTTCGA